TTTTTCTTTCTTTCTCTCCGTGCCCCCCCCCCCATGGTAGTTAAAAAAGTTGATGGAAGGATTCATATTATCTTTCAATTCTACATCTTTCCATCAACTTTTCGAAGTACCCTCATGTATGTGTATGTATACGTGCATGTGGGTATGTGTATGTGTGTGTGTGAGGGGCAGAGGGGGCAAGTTCATGCAGGGCCTTGTAGGCAAATGTAAAGACTTTGGTTTTTACACCCAGAGTGATAAATCACAGGAGAATTTTCAGCAAAGTACTTTTTAAAAGAATTATTTTAGCTACTGGGTTGAGAATAATATAACAAAATGATAAATTAGTACAAATCAAGTGGGTGGTGCTATCTCCATGCACTAAGTCAGTTGCTTTATGTATATTAACTCATTTAATGTACTCCAGAGAGAGGGGCAAGAATAGAAGCACGGAGACCTGTTCTGGTTATTCTTTTTTTTTTTTTTTTTCTGAATTATGGATATTCCCTGTAAGAGGGTACTTCAAAAAGTTTCAGGAAAGATTCACACTATCTTTTCCATAAACTTTGAAGTACCGTCATATATTCTAAGCATCACTTATCTTTTGCTGAGTATATGCAGTTGCAAATATCTTTTCCTAGTCCGTAGGTTGTTCTACTACTTAAATTGTACATTTTGTTATTCAGAAGTTTAAAATGTTAATGTAGTCAAATTCACCAACTTTTTTTTGGATAGTTTTTTTTTTTCATTTATCTTAGACTCTTATACTTGGTCTTCCTGAAATATTGAACTACTTTCCCAAACACATGCCACCATTCATACCACAGAGTCTAAACTCATTTTGGGTGGGATTTTAACCCAATTTTGATGAAGTCTAATTTATCTATTTATTTTCTTTTGTTGTTTGTGCTTTTAGTATTGTGTCTAATCAACCATTGTCTAACCCAAGATTAAGAACATTTACTCCTCAGTGTTTCTTATGACTTTTCTTCCAAGAATTTAGCTCTTACATTTAGACTTGTGCTTCACTTTGAGTTAAAATTTTTATGGTGTGAGGTAGGGGATCCACCTTCATTCTTTTACATATGGCTATCCAGTTGTCCCAGCACTAGCTATTGAAAAGGATTGTTTTTCACATTGAATTATCTGTCACTTTGTTGAAAATCAATTGAACATATTGTTAAGGTTTACTTCTGGACTCTAAATTCTCTTTTGTTGATCTGGATGTCTATCTTTATGTCAATACTTCACCATCTTGATTAATGTAGCTTCGTAGTAAGTTTTGTGCTATGGGTTGAGCGTGAACCCCCAAAATTCATGTACTGGGAACTTGATCCCCACTGTAATAGACAGTGGGAAATCTGGTTATGGAATTAACAGGTGGGGTCTTTAGAAGGTGATTGGATTGTGAGGGACCTACCCTTATGACTTGATTAAACTATTAACGGGTTAATGGTTTAGTGGGTTATCTGGAAGTGTTTCTCATAGCTTTATAAGGAGGGCAAGTGAGTAGGTTAGCTCTCTTGCTCATGTCATGATTACCATGTGATACCTTGGTCACCATTAGACCTTGTAGAGAGCTCCTGCCATCAAGAAGGCCCTTACCAGATGTGTTGCCTGGACATTTAACTTCCCAGCCTCCAAAATTGTAAGAAATAAATTTCATTTCTTTATAAGTTACCCAGTTTCAGGTATTTTGTTATAAGTAACAGAAAATGGACTAATACAATTTGAGATAGGAAAGTGTGCACCTTCTAACTTTGTTCTTTTTCAAGTTTGTTTTGGCTATTCTGGATCCTGTGCATTTCCATATGAATTTTAGGACTATTTTGTCAACTTCTGCAGAAAAGACAGCTGGGATTTTGATGGGAATTGTGTTAAAACTCTGGATCAATTTGATGAATATTGCCATCCTGACAATATTGTCTTCAAATCTATGAATATGGATTTGTATATACTTAGATCTTTAGTATTTTTTAACAATGTTTTAAAGTTTTCAGTGCACAAGTGTTGCACTTATTTTGTTAAATTTATTCCTAAGTGTTTATTCTTTTTGCTACTATTGTAAATGCAATTGTTTTCTTAATTTCATTTTCAGATTATTCATTGATAAAATTGAATAGAATATATTTTTGTGTGTTGATTGGTATGGATTGAATTATTTTCCCTCAAATTCATACATTGAAGTCCTAACCCCCAATGATATGGTATTTGGAGATGGGGACTTTGGTAAATAATTAGGTTTAGATGAGGTCATGAGAGGGGGGACCTCATGATGGGTTTAGTGCCTTTATAAGAATAGACACCAGAGAGTTTGCTCTCCACCTACTCCCCTCACCCTCAGCACACATAAAGAAAGGTAAATGTGAGCACACAGAGAGATGACAGCCACTTACAAGCCTCAGATTGAAACCTACCTTGCTAGCCTTGATCTTGGACTTCCCAGCCTTCAGAACTGTGAGAAGTAAGTTTTTTGTTGTTGTTTAAACCACTCAGTCTATGGTATTTTGTTATGGATGTCTGAGCTGACCCTGATTGATCATATATAATGCAACCTTGCCGAATTTATTTGTTCTAATAGTTTGTGTGTGTGTGTGTGTATCCTTTAATATTTCTGTATGCAAAATCATGCATTTGTGAATAGAGATAGTTTTACTTCTTTCTGTCTGTTCTGGATGCCTATTCCCATTTTTTTCCTTGCCTAATTGCCATGTCTAAAACTTCCAATACAATGTTGAATAGATGTGGTGAGAGTAAGCATCTTTGTCTTGTTACTAATTTTAGGAGGAAATAATTCAGTCTTTCATCCTTAAGTATTATGTTAGCTGTGAGGTTTTCCTAAATACCTGATCAGGTTGAAGCATTTCTCTTTTATTTCTAGCTTGTTGAGTGTTTTTTATTATGAAAGGTTGCTGGATTTTGTTAAATGCTTTTCTGCATCTATTGAAATCATCAGTTTTGTCCTTTTTTCTATTAAATGACACATCAAATTAATTGATTTTTGAATGTTAAACCAACCTTGGATTCTTGTAATCAATTCCACTTGGTCATGGTGTACAGTCCTTTTTTATGAATATATGTTGCTGAATTTGGTTCGCTAGTATTTTTTTTTGGGGGGGGATTTTTGTAACTTTTTCGGGAGGGGGGAGGTGGGGGTGGTAGACAGCTGGCCAGTGCAGGGATCCAAACTCCTGACCTTGGTGTTATCAGCACCATGTGCTAACCAGCCAGCTCTTTTGTGTCTATTTTTAAAAGATGTTTGTCTGAAATTTTCTTTTCTTGTGATTTCTTTGTTTGGTTGGTGTCAGAGTAATCCTTGCCAGAATGAGTTATGAAGTGTTTCCTACTTTTCTATATTTTGAAATAGTTTCTGAAGGATTATTCTTCAAATGTTTGGGAATTTAGCAGGGAAGCCATCTGGACTTGAGCTTTTCTTTCTGGATAGTTTTTTTTGTTTGTTTGTTTGTTAATTCAATCTCTTTACTTACTATAAATATGTTCAGGTTTTTTTCCTTCTTGAGTCAGGTTAGGTAGTTTGTGTCTTTCTAGGAATTTGCCCATTTTATTGAAGTTATCTAATTTGTTAGCATATGGTTGTTCATAGGATTCCTTATTATTCCTATTTATTTTTCTAAGTTGTATGTTTTAGTAATGGTTCTTTTTTCTTGATTTTATTAATTTGAATTTTATTTCTTTTTTTCTTAGTCTCACTAAAGACTTGACAATTTTGTGGATCTCAAAGAACCAACTTTTGGTTTCATTGATTTTCTCTTTGATATTCTGTTTATTTTTTGCTCTAATCTTTATTATTTCCTTTTACCTGCTTACTTTTGATTTAGTTTTCTCTTCCTTTTTTAGTTACATGCCTCTAATCTTGCCCCTCCTCTTCCAACTCATCTTCCTCAAATGTCGCCAAAGTTATTTGTGCACAAATTTGATGGTGCCATTCAGATGCTTAAAATCTTATAATTCTCATTCCTTACAGAGTAAAATTCAAATTCTGTAGAACGGTATACAAAGCCATTCATGATCTTAACCAGTTTACCTTACTAGATCAAATCTACCTTTCCGCTCACATCAAACCAGGTACAATTATATGTACATCAATTACGTCTGTTCTTATACGTTTTCTCAACTTGCTGTGCTTTTCTCTCACTGACGTTTTAGACAATGCATAAACTCCAGTCAGCCACACTTTTTGGTTGGTTATTTCCTCTTCCCTGCTGCTGCCATTGCACTTGGCACAAACCACTTTTTAAAGTCCTTACCAAATTTTTTTTAACTCATGCCTTCATTATTCTGTGAATTTCAGGATCTGCGATCCTGTCTTACAAATTATGTTCCAGTAACTGACACATATGAGTGTTCAATAAATGTGTGTGGAAGTAAGTGGGGAAAAGTGGTACGGTCTGGTATCACTTCCACTGGGAAAATGAGAAAATGGTTGATGTATTTCAGCGAGTGCAATGGAAAAGAGCGGTGGGAAATGGCCTCACACCGCATACTGCTTTGGTTCGTGAGAGCGAGAATACTGACATCCTCGTGCTTGGGCTTAACCTTTGCAGCCTAGAGATCACTTTAGACGATGCTCAAGCTCCAGAACCAGCCTCATATTACTAAACTAAGGAAGGCAGGTTGAGAAATTCGCCAAAGGTTAAGCCGAGTGCAGGTTCTTAGAGCGACTATGTCGGAGGAGCGTTTTGGTAGTCTGGTGGCTTCCCTCAACCTCTGGGCAAGCTGTCAGCGGTGGCTAGGACGGAGGTAGAGACAGAAGACAACTAACCCGTAAGCCTTTCCCCGATTGTCGCCCCCAAGCCTTGTTTAGAGGCGTGTGTTCTCATCGCGCACGCGTCAATTTTCCCCTTCTGGGATGAGCAAGGCGGTCTTTGCTCCTTGGGAAATTCTGAGGGGGTGGAGCCGAGCTGTTTCCAAGGTGACGGAGCGGCGGCCTCGGTGGTCGATTGAGCGCGTCTGAGCGAGGTTCCCAGAGAGCCGCGCGCCGCCGGCTCGTCTGCGCTGTCATGGCGGGTGCGCTGAAGAAGGTGAGACTCATGGAGGTCACTGTTGCAATTTAGACGGCGGGGGTAGAGTCAGCCCGATAGCCCCTCTTCCGGAGGGTGGTGGCCCTAACAGGGACCGACCGGCTCGGTTGTGTTTTGGGGGGCCTCGTTTCGCACTGCCCTCAGGTGATCAGGTTAGTGGCTGCGCTCGGAGAAACAGAAAGAGCTCGGAGCCAGCGGTACTGAGAGACGTGTAGCTGGCGGCAGACCGGGTGTAGCCAGGGGAGTCGTGGTTTTGCTTTTACTTAGCGTGGTGGACGGGTGACAATCATAGTAAACAGCATCGTGTTTTGTTTTTGAACAGACCACGGGCCTTGTGGGGTTGGCTGTATGTGAGACTCCGCACGAGGTATGTACCTCTTTTTTCCCCCCTTCATTCCTGAGTGCCCAAGGGAGACTACGACCCTGCGACTTTGTTTGTTGCAAAGTGAACAGGGTTCGGATAGTTCAAACCCCAAGTTACAACCCCACGAGAGCTCTTCAGACAGGGCTGTATCAACGTCATTTGTTGATCAGATGCCACTTTTTCCCCCCCTTTTTTGCCATGATCTCTTAATTCGACCACTTTTCTTGTTGGTTTTGTCCTTGGCATTCTCGGGGCTTCACTCGTGCGTACTTGTGTCAGCGCCCTCCCAAATCTCACCTTCCAACTTTGCCCGCCTCACCGTTTCTGCTTAGGTGCCCTGGATTCCATACACCAAAGCTTACCGAAAGTATCGCACTAGCAATTGTCCCCTTTTCTCTTCTACTAGGTCTTTCCCATCAATATTCAGAAATGCCTCCATCAAAAAAATAAAACAAAACTTTCTTGATTTTTCTCCTTCCTTCAGTAATGACACCATTTTTCTCCTTCCCTTTATATATAACTCAAAAAAGTTGTCTGTACTTACTGTCTCCAATTTCTCTTATTCCTCCTCAATGCACTTCAGTCAGTCTTGGCCACAGCTGTTCTTTTCAAGGTCACAGTGATCTCCATGCTGCTAAATCCAAATGGTCAGCTCACATTTCTCATCTTAATTGACCTAATAGCAGCATGTGACACATTTGATACTCCTTCCATCAAGCACTTTACTGGGCCTTAGGACTCTTCAGTCTCGTGCTTTCCCCCTTATTTTTGCTTTTGTAAGATCCGTGCCCTGGGCACAAATCCTACGCGCCAGAGCGACTCGCCTCACAGAGACCACAAGACAAGAGATCGCTGCAATTTAAGCAAGAGGTGTTTATTCAGCATATACTGGGTCGCCTTTTTCTACTTACAATACCAAGGCTTTTTATACATTTTTTTTTTCTTCTCTTAGACTCTCATAACAGGCTGTGTAGTTAATTAACTGTGGCGCCTTGAGATTTATGGTTAGGCTTAAAAGACTAGCACCGTTAGCCCCCCGATAAAAGACGTTACATGTTTATCTTCCCCGGTCCAGCCAGGTATTCAGAAGATAAGGGGGGGCTGGTTCAGTCCTTGAGACCGCCTGTCTCCTGGAATGTGTGCCTGGTTCTGCCTTGACTTCTGCCTGACCTCTTAAAAGCTGCTTCACTTAAAATACCTTTAGATATGTTTTCCTCGTTAGTAAGTGCTTACAGGAATAATTTGTGCAGGTTAGGTTAAAGTTCATATTTCTCTGTTACAATTTGTGCAGGCTAAAGCTACATAGGCAATAGTATGGGTTAGAGTCACAATTTTTATAACACTTTCTCCTTTTCTGGTTATTCCTTATATTCCCACTTTTAAATTTTGGAGTTCTTCAGGACTTAGTTCTTGGATCTTTATTTAGATTTGCTCTCTTTTGGTGACTGGACCGAGTTTAATGTTTTTAAATACCGTCTGTATACTGACAACTCTTAGATTTCCATATCGAGCACTGAACACTTCCTTTATGAAAGTCTTGTATATTTAATTGCTTAGTGGACATCACCACTTGTATGTCAGACAACAACATGTCCAAAATGGAGTTCCTGATATTGTCCCTAAAACCTTCTCTTCCCTCAGGCTTGCTCATCTCCGTGAATGGCAGCTCCATTCTTTTGACTGAAGTCAAAAACCTTGAAATCATTTTTTACTTCTTCCTTTCTCTCACACCTCACATTTGGTACTTCATCAGTAAGTTCTCTGAAATCTACCTTCAAAATACGTCCAGATTTTGACTACATCTCACTACCTCCTGCTACTACCCTCTTAGCCACTGTCATCACTGCTGTGGACAATTGCATTAATTTCCTAACTGCCTCTCCTTGCTTGTTACTGCCTCTCCTTGCTTGTTACTGCCTCTCCTTGCTTGTTACTGCCTCAGTTTGGTGTTCTTTCAGCCAAGTGACTAGTCAGTCAGCTAAAATATGTCAGGTCATGCCAGTCCCTTCCTTAGAACCCTCAAATGTCTTTCCATTCCGTTCTAAATAAAAGTCAGAGTTCTTATAATCATCCTTCAGATCACTGTTCAGCATACTGTATTCTACTGATTTATCTTGTTAGTTGTCTGTGTCTACTAGAAAGTAGGTTTCATAAAGGTAGGGATTTTTTTTATTATTTTGTTCAGTGCTAGAACTCTGACTCGTACAGTATGTGCTCAACAATGTTTGAATCAATGTCGTGCACTCATGATGAGTTCATAATGACTTTTAGACTCATTATTGTCTAAAACTAAACTCATGATTTTCTCCTGCTGTAAATATGTTTCTTCCTCTGTGAACTTATTTTTCTTGATGGTATCAGAATCTTTCTACTCCCCAGGCTGGGAATTTGGGTATCATAATTGATGCTACCTTTTCTATGAACCCTTCTCTGGTCTCTGCTGAAGTGATTTCTTCTTCCCTCATAGAATAATAATACTAACATTTATTGAAACAATGTGTACCAGGTACTTTTCTATGTTATACAACATCCTGTGAAGCGGGTTTTATTAGCCCCATTTTATATAAGAGGAATGAAGGCATAGAGATGGAAGTAACTTATCCCGAGCAGTTAAGGAGTGGGACAAATATAAAGCCAGGCAGTCAGGTTCCAGTTGTTAGCACACTCTTGTATACCAAGGTCAAGGGTTTGGATCCCCATACCTGCCAGCCACCAAAAAAAAAAATAATTAAATAAAAAATAAAAATTCACATAACCAGTTAGCATACTCTTATACTCTTAACCATTGCTAAGTACTGTTTCTCTGCTCTACGTTTTTCCTACTCCTGCTGCACACACACTTATTTTTTATTTTATAGTATTTATCATTTTTCTTCTGTGTCTTACCTACAAAGCCTTAAACATAGTTGGGAGTGGGATCCATGTCCAGTCTATCTTTATATCCAAATAGCACATAGTGTAGTATTTACTGTACATGGGAGTACTGAGGAGTGCGTTTTTACTGAAAAAATGAATGTTCTTTAGAAGGGTTCATATACGTAATTATTGAAATGTTCACACTCAGAGTGACCATATGTTTTGTTTGCCTTTACTGTTCTGGTTTACATCTGTGTTTTGGCATAAGGATTAATAATGTATCCTTTCACTTTCAGAAGTGTCCCAGTTTGGATGATAAATTAGATGTCCACCTATTCATAACTTTCTTTCTTTATATTATATTAATCATCCCTGTTTCTCATCTGTATTTCTCTAGGACCAGACATATTTTTAATCAGGAAAGATGAAAATTAAAAAAGAAAAGCCAAATTTTAATCAGATTGAAACTTTATTAAAATCCTATGTTAAAAACTAATATGTAGGGCCGGCCCGGTGGCGCACTGGATAGTGCGCCGCTTGGGAAGCGCGGCGGCGCTCCCGCCCGAGGGTTCGGATCCCACATACAGACCGGTTCCCGCTCACTGGCTGAGCGAGGCGCGGGAGCAACACCGAGGGTTGCGATCCCGTTGCCGGTCCTGGTCCGGTACGGGGGCAACACTGAGGGTTGCGATCCATTGCCGGACACGGAAAAAGACAAAAAAAAAAAAAAAAAAAAAAAGGAGGATAAGAATGAAAAGTATTTGTGAATCAAAATTTAAAGTTTAAATCAGATTAAGACTTTTGCATTTAGATATTTTCTAAAAAACTGTGTGTATTGTTTATATTAGGAAAATAAGAATGAAATATCTACTTAATCAAATTTTAATGTGTAAGTCCATTTTTTTTTGGTTAAATTTTTTTTTAAAAGTATCTAGTAAAGAATAAAACAAAGTATGACTAGTGAGTGTTTTAGGGAGGTCGGATTATCTGTGATGTGCTTTCTTCTTTGTACCTGTGCATACTGGTGCCTGCGCATTCTGGAACACAGATGATAATTGTGATGACTTGTTATAGAACGTAATAAGCAACATACAAGATAGACTGCACAGATGACTGTTAGAGACTTTGTCAGATTTATCCCCAAGTGATGGTTGCAGAAATAGAAAGGGAATAATTAGAACCCTAGTCTCTTGACCAGGCTTTTCCATTATCATACACTTTGCTAAAATTTAAAAAAATGAGGTTAAATGCCCCCCCCCCCCCATTGTGATTATATGTTATCTGACAAACTCTACATTGGAATAATAAAATACAGTTATGGAACAGCATATTCAAATATATAAATAAATAATGGCTAAATATGCAGACTACTTTAAAAACAAAAAACAGTTCCTAAAGACCTTCAAGGGGTGTGTGTGTGTATTTGATAGCTATACGGCCATGCACACAGTCAGTGAGGGACTGCATATAGTAGGGTGGTCAGAGTAATAGGCGAGGTGTGCAGTAGGCTATACCATCTAGGCTTGTATACGTATACCTCTGTGATGTTTCCACAATGATTAAATTGCCTATCAAAGCATTTCTCAGAATGTCTCCCTGTCATTAAGTGATGCATGACTGTATACAGTTGACCCTTGAACAATGAGGGGACCGAGGAGACCTTAGGACCACCGAACATAACCATCCCCCAGTCAAAAATTTGCATATGTGCCCTGGAGCTGGGGTGGCTTGTCATTTCTTAAGTAGTAGTTAACTGCTAGTAGCCCCAAATTTTCCAGTATACTTTTTTTTTTAAAAAAAAATTCACGATATGTATAAGTGGACCCACACGATTCTAACCTGTGAATGAAACTAGGTATTAGCTTCTATGGATTTTATACAATTAAACTAAAACAAATGTGAAATATATTTCTCCAGAAGTTTAAATAAGAAAAATTGAAAAAGAGAATTTGTAATGCCTAGGACCTCAACTGAGAAATAATGATTTAGTAAGTGATTTGATTTATGAAAAAGGTCTTTAGCAATAAGTTAGTTTTATTATTACTCGTTATACCTTTGAATTATATACAACTTTTTTTATACAAAGAACATACAGAAGGGGTTTCTACATTTATACTTACATTTTTCCTAAGTTGTAACGGGTGGGAATAGGGCATGGACATGAAGAAATTTCAGCAAAGACTTAAATGTTTTTTTAAAAAATGTGCAGTATTTTTTTGTGTGTGTGTCTGTGAGAATTTTTAAAGTGTTCCATTAAATATTTGGTGATATTCTAACATAGAAATTTGTGTGGTTTGTCTTTTCAGAAGCTAAGAATATTATACACAAAGATTCTTGGTATCCTTGAGCAAATTCCCAAAAATGCAGCATATAGGAAGTATACAGAACAGATTATAAATGAGAGGCTGGGTATTGTTGAAGCGGTAAGTAGCTAAATCAATTTTGTTTTCTTGGATTTATGGTATGCAATGTAATATTAAACAGCAATAAAAAATTCGTTTGCTTGTTTTTTGCATATTTGCCACACTTTTTATTTTTATTCTACTTCCTTCAGTGTTTTTCTTCTATCCTTTCTCCCTTTCATTCAGCAAACTCCTGTTTATAAAATGCTTTCTATATGCAAGGCAGTATTAAGTACGGGAGTGCAACAATAAGATCAAGGCCTGGCTCTGAGGTAACATTGCAGCTTGTCTTTTTACTTCTCTTCTCTATCTAGTCCCTTATTGATCTTTTGCTTCTTATCTATAGATACATCAATCCTGATCTCTTTTTTCTAGTCTCAGAGTGGAGAAGAATGAAAGCAAAACATAAAAAATGTGGTGTTTTAAAGAAAACTGTCAAAAAAATTATTTTAAAAAGTGCTTTGCTGCAAAAAGAAGAGGACCAAGTTAGTTTGTCTTAACTAACAAAAGTTATATTGAGCATTGTTATGCTGAGACTAAATGTTTGTGTCCCCTGAAAATTCATATGTTGAAGCCCTAACCCTTATTGTGGCTTTATTTAGAGATGCAGCCTCTAAAGAAGTAATTAAGGTTAAATGAGGTTTGGGGGAGGGGGAGTGATTCGATAGGATTATTAGTGTTCTTATGAGAAGAAATACCAGAGACTACGTGCTTGATCTCTCTTCATGAACACACAGCAAAAAGGCAGCTGTCTGCTGCAAACCAAGGGGAAGAGCCCTCACCAGACACCAAACTATCACTTTGATCTTGGACTTCCAGTATCCAGAACTGTGAGAAAATAAATTTCAGTTGTTTAAGCTGTAGTATATGGTATTTTGTTATGGCAGCCCAAACAGACTAATGCAAGTGTTTTATAGCTTCTTAATCAAAAGCCCTAGACAGGCACACAGTACATTATTGTTAAATTTTCACATTAGTGATTATTTCATGGACTTTATGTAATTATCCAAAATAGTGTTTATGAACTCTGAAAGTAATTTACATACATACATAATTGATTCTAGTGTATATTTCTTATTAGATTACTAAACTGTAGTTCAAAGAGAATTTTTATCTTTTTTTGAGGTACACAGCAAAACAATGCAATTTGATTTGGAACATTTATTCTTGGCTTAGCAATTCTGTTAGTAATTTACAGATTAAAGACTCTAAAGGGGGGCCGGCCCGGTGGCGCACTGCTACATTGTGCTGCTTGGGAGCACGGTGGCGCTCCCGCCGAGGGTTCGGATCCCACATACAGACCGGTTCCCGCTCACTGGCTGAGCGAGGTGTGGGGGCAACACCGAGGGTTGCGATCCCATTGCCGGTCCCGGTCCGGTGTGGGCGCAACACTGAGGGTTGCGATCCGTTGCCAGACACGAAAAAAGACAAAAAGGAAAAAAAAAAAATAAAGACTCTAAAGGGGAAGTTGACATTTCTTTTGTTTTCATGTTTTTCTTAAGGAAAAGAAGCTTATGCATTTTTTTCACATCACAGATTCCCTTTTTCTTTCATGAGGTGAATCTCTTCAACTCTGCCCTGATTCTTTATCTGTTTTCCTTCTCTGTAACCTGTTTCTTTACTCATTTATGCTCTATGCTTTCTCTAGCCTCTCCCATTTTATCATCTTTCATATAGCCTCAAAATGTATTTAGATTGTTCCTACCTGAAAAGAAAAACTGCTATCTCTATATTTTCATTTACTTATTGTCCTATTTTTCTCTTTTCTCTCATAGCTAATGTCAAAGAATAGTTCATTGTTGTTACTTCTTCATTGATGAGTTTTAAAATCCTTTTCTCTGCTGTTTCAACATTTATCTGTTTGTAGTTCCATTATACTTCATAATATGCCCCACACTGCCAATAACAGAGTGCTTTTATTCAGTCTGTAAATATTTTTATTTTATTTTATTGAAAGATAATTTATTATACATATTTGTGGGATACAAAGTTGACTATCAATAGTTGTGTACAATGTGTGATGGTCAAGTCAGGATAGTTAGCTATTCATCATTACAGTACATAATCATTCTTTGTGTTTGTTAAGCATTTTCTTATTTCTCATTAACCCCCCTCAATCTGTAAATCTTAACGTGGTACTTTCTTGCTTAACATCTTAGTGTGGTTTCCTGTTCAGTATTTCTCAAAGGTTAAGTTTAAGGATTTATTCTGAGCTGGTTGTATGAAACTCACCTAGCTACCTGTATCTGCATGATTTTTGATGTATAGTCACAGTTGAGAATCACTGACTTAATTGAATAAAGTCCTTAGCATGTTATGGAAGGCCCTCCAAGGTCTGATTCTTGGATGTCTTCTCAATCCTATCCTGTTGTTTCCTATTTTCTACCCTGTACTTCAGCAGTACCAAACTACTGGCAGTTCTGTGGATTCCATTCAATTTTATTTTTGTGTTCATTTTGCATTTTCTCTTTTCTCTTCCTGTAATGCCCTTACCCTATCTGTCTGGTAGTTCTTACTCAGACCTCAAGAGTCATCACTTCCTCTGTGAAGCCTTTTCTTACCTTTCTAAGTACAGTTTGACAACTTCCTCACTTCTCTCCTATTGTACCTGTCACACTGTATTTTACTTATGACTCCTCTACTAGTCGTAAGCTACTTGTGAATGATATTGGATTCATCTTTGTATCCTGAGAATCTAGCATAGTACCTGGCACATAAGATCCCTTGGAAAAGTTTGTTTATCCAAAAGGCTAAATATAATTAGTTTTTAACAACCCCAGGCACTTCATAACAATTGTTTGGCTGATTCCTATTTTTGGTAAAACTATCAGTTTTTTAACCCTGTGCAGAACCACAAAGAAAATCTTCAGTGAATATTGTTGTGATTATAAAGTATCTATATACTGTGCCAGAAGTGGAAATAAAATTATTATTTTTCAGATTACCACTAGAGACAGTAGTAACATATTGGTGAAAAGCATTGGTTTGTATCCTGTTCAAGATTTTCATCTTAGCTCTAATACTTACTTTCTGAGTGACTTGGCCTATTGATCATGTTCTCTGTTTCAATTTCTTTAATAAGTGTATCTTGAACACTTATTGTTAGGACTGAGTGAGGTCTATGTAAAAAGCTAAACATAGTCCTTAGCATATAGTGAGCATTCAGTACATGGTACCTTATTAAGCTTAATGCCATCATGTCATTGGTAAATAAAAATTATATTATTGATTAACTATCAGTGAGACAAATTTTCAATTGTTTTCCTAACACAGGCTTTTCCTGAGTTGGAGATATTATGGAACATGTCTTGCCTTCTTTATTTTCACAGGTCTCTTATAACAGTGAATAGCTTCCTTGTTTTGTTTTTGATTTTGGTTTTTGACCTCATAGCTGAATTAATTCTCTGCTAAATAATCTTTCTCAAACATGCTCATCTTTTTTTTTCTTTCTTTCCACCTTTTCAATTATTATTTATTTATTTAACCAAGAAACATTGAATGACTATACCATGTATGATTCTAGGCATAGAAGCTTGTGCCTAGCTATGTGGCAGTGACCAAAACAGATAAAAACCCCTGCCCTGTTGGAGATTACACATTAGTGATGGGAGACAAAAAATATGTATAAGAAAAGAAGTAAGTAAATCAGTGTATTAGTCCATTTCTGTTGCTTATAACAAAATACCTGGAACTGGGTGATTTGTAAGAAAATGAAATTTATTGCTTGCAATTTCAGAGGTTGGGAAATCCAAAGAAGACATCTGGTTAAAGCAGTGCGGGGGTCTCACATGTCAAAAAATGGTGGAGCAGAGAGACAGACTTTCACATGCTGTCCTTTTAAAGCCCTCAGAACCACATCCATGACCACCATTATTAGTACATTCACTGTGGCATGGTCCTTACAATCTAATCACCTCTTTAAGGTCCCACCTTTCTATTACCATAATAGAATTTCCCACCCTCCCATAGTCACAGTGGGGGCCAAGTTACCAATACCTGGAACTTTGGGTGACACAATTTAAACTTCAGTGAGTTTGGGGGGACATTCAGTCCCCAGCATTGAGTACATATAATGTTAGAAGATAGTAAGTGCACTGAAGGAAAGTAAGTAATGATGATGTGTGCCACTGTGGGGACAGCGGATATTACAATATGTATTATATTAATTTCCTATGGCTGATGTAACAGATTAGCACAAACTTGGTGGCTTAAAACAGTAAAAATTTATTCTCTTATATTTCTGGAGGCCAAAAGTCTGAAATTGGTGTCAGGGACCCAAATCAAGATGATGTCAGGTCTGGGCTCCCTCTGGAGGCTCTAGGGTAGAGTTCATTCCTTGGCTCTTTTAGCTTCTTGTGGCTTTTGGCATTCCTTGGCTCATGGCTGCATCATTGCTTTCTGCCTCTATAGTCATATTACCTTTTCTTTTTCTGTATCTAGTTTCCCTCTGCCTCTCTCGTATAAGGACACTTATAATTGCATTTAGGGCCCATGTGGATAATGCAGGAAAATGTCCCTATATCAAGATCTGTAACTTAATCACATCTGCAAAGTCTTTGCCATATAAGGTAACATTCATAGGTTCCAGGGATTAACAAATATACACCTTGTGCATCATTATTCAGCCTATCACAATATGAATTATTTGTAGTCCTTACAAAGAAGGTGATACTTAAAAATTTGGGAGTGAAGGAATAAGCCATGGAGAAGATATTCTGGGTTCTCTAGCAGGTGCCCTGAGGCCAGGAACATGCCATTTCCTGTAAAAATAGCTGGAAAACAACAACTTTGGTTTTTTCTACCTCTTTTCATTTCATTTATGGGCCAAAAAATACCCTGATAATGTCAAAGCCTTATTACATATGCATGTATATGAATAAGGTATGGTTTTTGGCTCTCAAAACTTCTAGAAAATAAACGTTATTGAATAGTCTAGGTACTATATTTATTAGCATTTAAAAAAATGTTTTATTAAAGACTAATGTACATAGAAAATGTGCAGAAATCATAAGTATAGAGCTTGACGAATTTTCACAGTGATTTGAGGACATTTCCAGAACCCAAAACCCTCCCTTATTCCCTTCCAAATTATCACCCTCCTAAGGTAACTATCGCTCTGACTTCTGGCATCACAGATTTATTTTGCCTGTCTTTGAACTTTATATGAATGGAACTTCTAACGTCACAGACTTATTTTACCTATTTTTGAACTTCATGTAAATGGAAACAGTATGTACTCTTCTGTGTCTGGTTTCTTTTGCTTAATATCATGTTTAAAAGAGTCATCTTTGTTGCATATAGTTTGTTCATTCTCATTTCTGTGTACTGTTCTATCATATCTAAATACCATAATTTTTTAATCCATTCTATTTTAGATGGTCATTGGGTTTTTTCCTATTTGGGGTTATAATTTGTGCTGATGTGAACATTCTTGAACAAGTCATTTGTTTAATGTCTGAGTTTATTTCTGTTTGGTATATAACTAGGGGTGGAATTTCTGAGTAGTTGGGTAGCATTTATTTTTAATGCTAATGCTCTCAGAGGAAATATGGGAAATACTAAGAAAAACAAAGTGATATTTTAAAATCTGTATTTTAGAAATACTGAGTTAGGCATCATATTTCTTATCCTTGATAATCACGTCAATAAACATTTAACACTTTTTAATATTAAGACAGAAAAACAATAAAATAGCAGAGAGATGAAATGGGTTTCCACCAAATATTTGCTAAAAACTTAGTAAGGGTATGATGAAAGAATAATTATGCTTGTTGTAAGTTTTTTTTTAATGTATGGATTTTTAAAACAGGATATTAAAACATTCAGATGTCATGCTCCTTTGTTTAAATGTCTTTTTCTTTCTGAAATAATAGGAGCCAAATGTTAAAAAATTAGAAGACCAACTTCAATATGGCCAAATAGAAGAGGTGATTCTTCAGGTAAGGAAAAAGTTGAATGTTTAGATGTTTAGTTTTAAATGTTCATTTTGTATAGAGGCACAAAACTAACATTTCAGAAAGAAAGGAAAATAAAATTTCTTTATTTATATCAACTCATCAAATATAAGACTAATTACGTTTAGAAAATGTGGTACTTCTAATTTTTAGAAAGGTACTTTGAAAAGTTCATAGAAAGTTTCATGTTATCTTTTAATGCTATTTTCACACAAACTTGAAGTACCCTCGTATGTCAGTTAAATATTATCACTGATTATAGCTTGAATTTGTTAGGCTTCTGTTGGAAGTTTGGCATTTGATACCCTCTTGGAGCTTTTTGACCAAATTAATTGCACGGTGTATTTGAGAGCTTGATTTTACTTTGTTTCCCAACTATTTACCCTAACAAATAATGATATTGAATGGTAAAATATAAGCATGATTATCTGGGATTGAGAAGATTATCACTAACATTGCTAATTACATTCAGAATATTTAAATCTTAAATTACTCTGTTCGGAAATTTTTTTTCCTTTCCCTCTCTGTGTAGTCATTATTTATTCAAGAAGAAGAATACTCACAGTTTAAATTTGTTCAACCTGAATTTTAATTTTTTCCCTTAGGTTATAGATATGTTACAGAAATAAGCTACAAAAGTATTAGGCTAGATAAATACTGTTTGAGGATTTGATAGTTGGTTTTCTAAATCATCTATAGTATTTTTAGCTATCTCAAATAAATTTTTTTCATCAGAATAATTTCTTTCTCCCTGCCTATTTTACATAATTTAAGAGCTGAATATGTGGCAAAATGACCCCTATTTTCAGTTAAACATGGCCAGCAGCCTAGGAAATAATATTTGAATCAAATGCTTAACTTTTTGTAGAAATTTTTTTTATAAGAATATTTTATGTCATTACAGAACATTTTTAAAAATAGAGAAAAGCCTTTTGCTTTTATGAATAATGCTTTGATTGATATGTTTGTACAAACAGCTTTTCCATTTTTCTATTATTTCATTAGAATCAGTACCTTGAAGTAAAATTACTAGTCAAACATCTCTTACATAATGTGAATTAAATTCTTGGTCCTAATTACCAAATTATTTTCTAAAAGCATTTAATTTCTAGTGCCATAGCAGTGCTTCAGAATATCAGTTTTAACACATCTATGCTGGTAAGAATACTATTTTAATATGATCAGGGAAAATTATGCCTAATATTTTTCTTTTTTTTTATTTGTGCATTTTTCCCTCCAATTATTAATAAGGTTAAACTTTAAAAATATGTTCTTGTATTTTATAAATTATTATTTATATATATATTATAAATTATTATAAATAATATATATAAATAAAAAATATTATAAATTAATATTTTTGCTCTATCATTTGCTCTTAATTTTTAAAACATTTTTCTCTGAGTGTTTTTTATAATAAAAGATTATTAACCCTAAACTTTTGTCATATTGTCTGCACATACTTTGTGTAGAGGTTTTAAAAATTTTTACTTAGTCAAATTTTGTTGTACACAATCTTCCCCTCCTTTCTAATATTATAGATTTAGAATGTCTTTCTCTCATATGAGTCTGGTAAATATTCAGTTCTCTTTCATTTTATTTTCGTATTTTTTGTATCTTTTTAAAATGTAATCATTTCTTCCTTTCTTGCCTTTTATCAATGGACAAATAAAAGGAAATATTCGGTGGTATGGAGATTAGGGAGGTATATCACTAACAGACACAATATACAAGTTCAAAAGAATTGTTAGATGGCTCTGGAAAAAAAAAAAAAAAGAAATATGGTTACAGACAGCTTTATATGAATGTAGACTGTTTCCATTATTTGAAGATCTGTTTTCCTGGCACTTTTTTTTTTTTTTCCGTGGTTGGTTATTGTGGAGATTGGCTTTTATGTTCATTTGTCAGGTTGGCTGTGGTTCTAGAGAATAGGGATATGGGAACTTATTGCATACCTCTTACTATTGTCTTCTTCCTGTTTCTCTTTTCTGTGGGGGCTGATTTTATTTTGATTGCAACTTTAGTTTAGCTGATACATTAATTTATCATGCAGTACTCTGCTAAAGCATATTAAGTATTTTTAAGTTAGCTGTGCAGTTCTCCACATTTTCATGGGTAGTATTAAGGTTAAATTAATTTCAGTATGTTTTATTTAACCCAATATATCCAAAATATTATTATTTAGATATATGATCATTATAAAAAATATTGAGATCTTTTACTTTCTTTTTTATACTAAGTATTTAAAATTTGGTATATATTTTACACTTGCAGTACATCTGAATTTGGACTAGCTATTATTTCAAGTGTTCAGTAGTGAATGTGGGAGATGGCTACCATATTGGACAGCCCACTTCTAGAGGAATGGTATGAAAGGAAGGAGGAAAGGATAGCATGGAAGAAGCCAAAGAATAGGGAAGAAGTGGGCAAATGGGACCAGATGCAGCTGGGTTCAGGTCCCTGAAATAGGGCTGGTTCTCCATGATGATCAAGGTTAGGCACCCTTCCCACTCCCTGCAATGTCTTAGGGAGTGTATTAGTTCGTTTCTGATGCTTATAAGAAAATGCTATGGAACTGGGTGATTTATAAAGAGAACGAAATTTATTGCTTACAGTTTCTGAGGCTAGGAAGTCCAGAGTCTAGGGAACACATCTGGGGAGAGCCTTGGTGGTGGTGACAGTATTGGCAGAGTATGACATTGTGAAAATGGTGGAGCAGAGCAGAGCAGAGATAGAGAGAGAGAGACAGATTCTCTTTTCTTTTAAAGCCCTCAGAACCACATCCCTGACCATCATTTTTAATCCTTTCACTACTGCATGGTCCTACAATCTAATCACCTCTTCAAGGCCCCACCTTTCAATTACCGTAATAGGATTTCCCACCTTCTTAACAATCACAGTAGGAACCAAGTTTCTAATACATAAAACTTGGGGGACACAATTCAATCTTTGATGAGTTTTGGGGGGACATAATTCAATCCACTGCAGGGAGATAGTGAATGAGTGGAAGTTCAAGAGAGACCTAGGGCACAAGGCAGTCAGGGAAATATGTAGGCAACATTTTATCAGTATTTAAGTTATTTTCTTATTTCAGCATTGGTACTAACTCTACGCCTAGATTTCCATAAATCTGCTCTTTAACTCAGTGTTTGTATAGTTGTTGCTAAACATAGATTGGCTTTCTGGATCACTGGCATAAATGGGGCATTGCCTTTTAACCATACAACAATAGCCTCTGATATAATCTAAGCAGTTATTCTGTGTTTGAATTCCTTCTCTGACACCCTGACAAGTATTTAATAATGTTCATCTTCTGTGTTGGCTAGAGTTGTCATGGGTCTTTTTGTTGTAGGAAAAATGTGAAATAACAAGGTACCTAAAATATATTTAAGTATGTTATAAATTGTGTTTGAAAGGAAAAACTAAATGAAACATAATCTTATTAAGAAATTAATTTAATCAGTAAATATTTATTTACTGTGTTTGTCTACATTCCACAGATCACTATTTTACAAACTCTATGTCTCAAGTGATTATGGGTCATGAAATCAGTTAGGTGGAATGTGATTAGCATTCAAAAAACACAGTAGAAAATAGCTAGTAAAGATAATGATTTAAAATTTTTTTATTTTAGTTAATTGTGTACATTGTGGATCCCACAGTTAGATGTTTTTGTTTGTTGTTTTTTGTTTGTTTTACTGTGGACTGTGGTAAAATAAAGTTTGAAAGCCACTAACAGATGAAGAGACATACTTCTGATCCTCGAAAAACTTCTGAAATGTAATTAAGACTGAAAACTCACCAGTTACACTTTTGAACACTAGTTATAGCAGATTTCAGTCAAACAGAAGAGACCAAAATATATTCTTTCTTACTCAGGATCCTGTGGCTATAAGGATTAGGGTGATTTGATTATGGTATAATGTTCAGTATTTGATGGTGGAATAGATCACGAGGTATTAATATGAACCTAGTAGCTCTAATAATTTCAATTATTAGCTCCAATAAATATCTGTTGAACAGTAAAACCAAATAATCTTTAAAAAATTTTTTATTTACAGGCAGAAAATGAACTAAGTCTGGCGAGAAAAATGATTCAGTGGAAACCATGGGAGCCGTTAGTGGAAGAGCCTCCCGCCAACCAATGGAAATGGCCAATATAATCATTAAATGACTTTGGTGGGTTGATGGGAGGCTAATATGATTAAGTGTGCTGTTATATTAAAAATATTTCCATATTATTGACATCAAGAAAACTGATAAGAACATATTTAGGAAACTTGTTAAAATTAGTGATTATGGTTATAGGGTCGTGAATCAGTTTTTAGTTTGTATTCACTCAAATTATTTCAAAGATTATATTTCTTTGAACAGAGGGGTTGTGGGAAGATTTGAAAGTTAATTAGAAATATTTCTACAGATCTTTATTGCAGATGCCATAATTGAAAGGTAAAGTATCTTTAGTAGTATCTTCAATATGTCATTTAATTTTTTTTATTCTGAGAAAAAAGAGAAAAGGCACTTGATTATTATTGTCTAAATAGATTTATAGGTCACTGTTTGAAGTGAGGTAATAAGAGAATATTTTCAAATGTGATAAAATGTCAAAAGTACCTGGTGATAAAATTTAAAATTGAGATTAACCTCTTTAGCTGTGATCCTATGAATATAAAGTAAAATTTAAATATATATTTACATACTGATTACCAAATTCATTATGTCATTTTGTTTTAGCCTATATTTGAATTATTTGTTCCATTTACTTTGTTTTCATATTGTCTTCATTTTATCATATTTTGTTATTACTCTATTATCTTTGAAGGCCATCAAATTAGAATTCGTTGAGCAGAAGAAACTGATTTGTTATTTGGAAAAAAGATTTCTTACTGTACAAAGGTAATTGGAAAGGTTTTCCTTTTGTCTCATTTAAGAAAGTTAGCTTTCTGGCACTTAGCCTTTAATTTTCTTGATCAACCCAACTATATCATGATAGAGTTAGAATTTCTGTAAAAGAGGAAATATTAAGAGTTCCTGAAGTTTACCTGGTATATGGATAGGCTTATATTCAAAACTTCTTAGTCATATAGGTATAACTTCAAAGTGAGATCACTAAGTAATTTTCACTGAATTTCTAATATGAGTACAGCTGGACATCAAAAAAAAGGCAAATGCTGTTCAAGGAAAGAAGAAACTGGCAACCTTAAGGTTAAACAAAAGTAAAATTACTTTTCATTTGTCCTCACTTTTTCTTCCCGGCCCACTATCATTTCTAAATGCCTGGTAAAATTTAATTGGTATCTCTTTCCTTCACAGGTAATACTTTTGTTTTTCTGTGTATTTGTGTGTGTGTGTGTGTGTGTGTGTGTGTGCGTGCATGTGTGTGTATATTTTGCTATCTCTTGTGGCAAAACAGAACCTTTCAGAATGAGAAAAAAATTGTATTTTTTCTTTTTTCTGGTGTATCTCTTCCTGATAGAGCTGTAAGATGAATGCTAAATAAATATTAAATAAGATGGATTGAGTTACTTCCTAGAGGTTAGATTGCGAGAAAGCTCTTTCTGGTGGAGAAGTAGGAAAAGCATTAGAGGGAGAGTCAGAAGCCCAGGGGTTCTCATTCCCATGGTTCTAGTGCCATCATGAACTCAGTGACTAAATTGAGGCAAGCTGTCGACCTCTCAGAATGGCCTACTTCCTTCTCTGTAAAAGAAATAGAACTTATGCATTATAACAACTTTTTCAGTTCTAAACATTTCCTGTAATATATAATACATTATATTTATTGAGATCAAAATATATGATCCTAAAGTATGTTTGCATGGATGCTTTCAAGTTAATTTTCTAACCAACCAGTTTTTCAGGTTCGTTGGTCACATAAAATCAGAAAGGTGGCTTGTTATGCCTTTGTCATACTGTCAGTCCCACTTTTGCTATGATTCTCGGGCATCTTTTATGTTTCACCAGCAGTGCTACCGTAGTTTTATTGATAAAAATGTACCTTACTGGTGTTTGCATTAGAAATGCTAATGGTAAAATAGTAATACTCATTGTAAAAATAGTATGATGGTAATAATAGTTTTTGTTGACACTTTAATATGAATGCCATGCACTGTCATAAGTACTTGACTGATTTCACTCATTAAATCTGCACTGCAACCTCAAGAGTGAGATACTGCAAATTATCTTCATTTTCCAGATAAGGAAACCACAGTCCAGTGTGAGTACTACTCCCCTGCAATTATGCAACATGGGGCCCTGGAGGAGCTGAGGCAAAGAGATGGTTTAGTAACATATCCAAGGTCACATAGCTAGCAAGATGTAGAGCTAAAGTTTAAACCTAGACAATCTAGCTCTAGAACTCATGCTCTTACTATTATGTTATTCTTTGTGAATGTGCTTGGGATGCTGTCACTCCTGCCTACTGTGTAGCCTGCACCACATGAACCTAAATCCCGCTCTCTTGACTTTTTCTGTCAAAGTTACTTGTAAAGAACAAATGTGAGCAGAACTAGTAAACTGAATTTCATTTTGTGCAAAGATATTATATTGCCCACAAATAATGTTAATGAGGTAGGTGTCTAAAAGGCATCACAATTTGGCCCATAATTCTTTCGCATTTACTAACTGCCATTCCAACTCCCCACACAGCCTTACACCTGTATTTTTACTCTTTCAAATCTTTTTCCAGTTGCTTTCTGTAAACTTCCAGATTAAACATCCTGATCTGTGTAGATGATTCTTCTGTTCAGAGATCTTCATTGTTGTCTGGAGGCTTCTAGACCAATTTGAGAAATTTTCAGAGTGGCCTATTTCAGTTTTCTCCATAGGCTTCATTCAAGTTAATCACTGTGCTCCAGATACCATACTTCAAAAGGAGAAGCTAATCAATTTAAACTTTGCAAACAGAGAAGAAAATGGCAGCAAAGTTGATGCCCTGGTTCTTCCACACCCGGACTTAGTGCAAAAAATTCCAGTTTCTGGGCATTCTTTTTTGGGGGGTGAAAATAGCTTATATCTAGGATAACCATATAATTTATCATTTAACCTGGAATGATTTTGATGTGAAAGAAAGAATTAATAACTTCATAAAGACAACAGGTATACACCATGACTGGCCTGAGCAAACACGATGTATGGGACGCTACAGGAGTAAGGCTCAGGTCTCAGTGTTGCCATCCTTCCTACACCAGGAGGAACAAGTAGTCTGTCATCTGAATAGAATGAACGTGATGCCAACAGTAGTAGCCATCATGTGCAACCAGACCTCAAGTTTCATTGTGTCCCTTAACTTTTAATTCTTAATTCCCCCTCACCTTGCCTTTCACTCAGAATTGGGGGATAGAAGAGAAGGAGTTTATATTTTGTTATCTATTTCCTTTTCTAATACTGAGGTTCAGTCAGAGAAGTGAAGCTAATTATGCCAATAACAATATCTATGAATGTGTCTCTTCAAAGGGAGAAAATCAACAATATCTGTATAGGAAAATTCCCACATACAGGCTAATATCAGCTTTTTTTCCCTACCAGCTTCCATGGTTATAAAGACAAACAGAAATTAACATCCTACACAACTATGTTTTGGGGTCTAGGGTTAAGTACTAAATTGCTGAACGTATCACAAGTATTTTGCATTTGCTGAGTGATCTTTCCATTAAAACTCAGTGTTCAATGAGATTGTAGCCCATGCTACAATAATAGTTTAGTAATGCTAATTTTGGGGGGGGAAATAAATGAGAAGATTGGAGTTTGGTTTAGAGGAGGATGAGGTTTTGTTTTAGACAGGATTCACAGGAAATCCAAGTGGGAATGTGAAAGGGATTTGAATTATTGATTGGGATTGGAGAAGTTTATCTGAAAGTGTATTTAGAGGGAGTAAGCCAAAACTCTAGATAGTGGAGAAAAGTAGTAAAGTAGTGACTTAGTGTAGGTTACTCCTGAATCCCAGTGTCTTAACAAAAGTGTGTTTCTTATTCATACTGCATATCTACGGAGGGTTGGCAGAGATTGCACACAGGAGTCATAAAGGGATCCAGGCTGAGCATGGCGTCATATCAACACATGCTTCCATGACCATAGTGATGGGGAATGGGAACATAGCAAATCACACAGAAACAAAAAAGAAACAAAACCAAAGCCAAAATTGTTTGAATTGCCATAGAATTTATAAATTGAGCTTGTCATGCATTGGTAATAATTTTTGAAGTGATCTTTAGGTTTAAATTAGCCAATTATTTTGTGGTGTGCTTAAGCGTAATTTATGAGAGATTAGTTTCTATTTATGACTGTATATGGAAAACATTGCAAAGATTCTTTTTTGGGATTTCTCATGATCTTCAAATGTTATGTTTTTTTAAGGTGATCCTTTTAGCTTTTCTAAAGATAAGTATTATTTTATTAGAGAATATTGCATTTTACTGTTTTTCTACAACTGGAAGGTGGATTCCTTTTTTTCAGGATAAAACATGCCCACAATTTTTACCTAAATTCCAAATTCCAAAAATCTCTGAAAATGAAATTCTTTCATAACTCATTTGGAAACAAACTTGACCTGAATTCATATAAGGCTATTTGTGGTCTTTATCCCACTTTAATTTAAATATTAATATATTTTGCCACAGAAATATTAATTTCTGGACTACTTCCCTAGACCCAATGAATGTGTTACATAATATAAAGTATATGTCCATATTACTTTCCAAAAATTTGGAAAATCCTGAATATCAAACACATCCCATGGGCCAATGTTTCCAACCTTTTGAGCTCTCAAAAGGTACTATGATCCAAATTTAGTCCACAAATAATTTCCAAAGCATAATTTTCAGGTGTTTATTTTTCTAAATTATTCTTCTAATATTTTCTCTAGTTCATTATTCGTTTATATCAAGAAAAAGTGTAGCCTGGAGTAACAATGGAAAATAACTTTGAAATGCTTGACTTCATAAAGTCACTAGGTGGCATCTTTGTAAAAATAAAAGTACATTAAAAGAAATGTTTATTGTATAAATAAATGAAGAGATAAAGGCAGATATTTCATGAAAAATAAAGATAAGTCATTTTCAGCAAGAAATCCTGAGAAAGTGCATAGATTTATTGTAAAAAGTAAAATGGAAAATAATATTGTAAAATTACTCTTTGATTTTTGGGATTGAGAGTCTTTTTCCTATTGGATGTTTTCATTCAGTTTGCATTTACATGTATTCAATGTAACCAAACAACTGTGTGTGTGTGTGTGTGTGTGTGTGTGTGTGTGTGTGTGTTATGCTAATACCTTTCCAAGCTGCATAGACTACCCAGGGAGTTCTGTTGTAAGACTGAATAAAGTCAGTTCCACAGCAAGCCATAAATAAAATATGAACACATAGTGGGTATCAAGTCACATTTAACACTGTGAGGCACTTGAAGTTATCTACCACCTGTTTTTCTTCCCTCATTTCCTGCCTCTGTTCCTAAACTGAAGGTTTTCATACTGTCCCAAACATGGAAGACAGTGAATGATAAATTTTAAAGAGGAGAACCAGAAAAGTGAGTGTTTAAAACCAGTGGAATTTTCATTACTACTAGAATTTATGCTACATTATGATTTTGGAGATGGGAGTGGGTGAGTGTTTGGTAAAACTTGTCCACACACAGCTGGTGTACCTAGTGGTTACCTGTATTCCCTTTTTTTCTTTGCTCTTCATAAGTGTGTGGAAGTGATTAAAATGCATTTGTTTTTACTTAAGATCGTTACTAAAACAAAGCCAATTTTATCTGAGAGAATAATATATAATACACATTTCATATCCTAGTAAGAAATATGTAAAAGTGGGATGAAGACTGAAAAAAATGAAACTGGACATTAAGAAGTTATTGGGGAGATGAATAGTGTGATTTCCACGAATGGTATGAAGAAATGAAGACACTGAACATTATGAAGAAATGGACCTGTACTATGTATAATTTTTAAAAAATTTTATTAACGTAACATCCTTTTTAAATATCAAAGAGTACTTCAAAAAGTTTATGGAAAGATTTCTATTAGCTTTTAATTCTGTTTTTCCATGAACTTTTTGAAGTACCCTTGTAGTGTAGAATAGTGATTTAAAATCTAGGGTCTGGGGTCAGACTGCTTAAGTTTAATCCTGATTCACTAAATCTTTGTGTGCCTTAGTTTCCTCATTAGTAAAATGGGGCTAAGATCAGTTCCTCTTTAATAAAATCGTGTAAGGATAAAATTAGAAATAAATATAAGGTGCTTAGTGACAATAAGTGTTAGCTGCATTTGTTACTACATATGCAACAGAAACATACTTGACCTTCCCCCAATACTAAGCTGTGCTTCTTTAAAAACTTAATTTTGAGAATTTACTGATAAAAAAAAGCCCTTTATAATTTAGTTATTAACAAAAGCTTTGTTTCTCCTGACTTATAAGAGGAATTATTTAACAGCTACCAGCAAGCTAAGAGCCAAGTTCTAAATTCATCAAAAGCAAGTAGGCACCTATTGTGCACCTGTGTTCTCCTTTGTCAATTTCTCGCCTCTCACTTCATATTTATATTTTCTTCCATTCTGATTTCTTATATCTGTAAGCTTAAATTGCTGTCAGCGTTTGGTTTGGAGAACTGGGAACTTTCACAAGTGTAAAAGGGATGTTGGAGGGAGGTTAGCATCAGTTAACCAGCAGCTAACAACCCTAGCCTCTGGCCCCTCCGCTTCCTCCTGTCGCGTTTCTCCTCCCAGACCGCCTCGCCTCTGCCGCCCCCCCACGCGCTGCGTTCCTTTGCCGCGCGGGCGGCACCTCTTTCCCTGGGGGCGGTGCCCTGGCGAGAGGAGGTGGTGCCAGGGCCGCTGCTAGGATACGGCCGGCAACAGAATCCGGAGGAGAGGAAGGAAGCTGCTTTCAAGGAGCCTGCGAAACCGCTTCGACAGGAGTAGCTGCGTTTCTCGGTCAGGTAGGAGGACAGGTTCTGGCTGCCTTCTCCTGGCTGGACGCTTAGACCCGGCCTTGAGCCAGTGATTGCACTTCGAGCCAGCTGGACTCCGAGGGCTATGAGCAGAGCGCTGATACCGCCGGGGCTCCTGGGGCTGCCCGGCCGGTCGGGAATGTTTCTCCTTTACTTGAAAAACCGTGCAAAGCATCCCATCCTTGGCTTCTTTTCTGGCTCCGTCTCTCTGATTTGGG